CAAAAATTTTTTAAAAACATAGGGCCTAATTATTTTTTTTTTTTTTTTTTTTTTGAGAGAGAGAGCTTTTTGCTATAGGGTATGTGTACTCGCCAGAGAGACAGAGAGACATAAAGCAAGAAATCACCATGCTGCAGTCCCTTCTCGTCCATTCTCCTCTCTGAATTTTGGGCATGCACGCACATGCACCCAGCTTGAGTTTGAAGCTGCTAGGTCTGGGACTCGAACTGCAGTCAACTACATGGGAGTCCAGTGATAAAACCATTATGCCATCTGCTAGTCCCAAGACAAAGTATCTTAAAAGCAATAAGAGAAAAGTGTATAGAAAACACTGTGTGTGTACATTTTACATGAGCAAAAGTATGTTATAAAGGCTGCTCTGTACTTGGCATTTTTAAATATATCTTAGAGATCTTTCATTCTCAGCCTATGGATTTAACACAGTCAGATTTCGTTTCTGTGAAGCCCCTGAAGAACAGTGTAAAGAATGGGAAGGGGTCCACAGTGGGCATAAGGGACACAGATATCAGGCCAATGCCACGTTCTACAGGCTACCCACTGCAGGCGGCCCTCCAGCCGGGAGTAGGCAGTGTCCACACAATAGAAGAACCACTGCTGGCTAGGGGCAGGCCCCAGGACCCAGGTGCTGCGCTGGCTCAGTTCTCAAGGCAGGTGCTTATTTTATCTGCATTTTCAATGGAGGAGGCTGGGGTAGGTTTCCTCATCCATGCTCACTCCGTTAGTACATATTTGCTCATAATCACTTGGATTTATCACTCCTCTTTATTCAGGCTCACAGACTGAGCCCTTTAGGTGCTGGGGGCTCAGGGCCCAGGGCACTTCAGTGGTAAAAACGGGATCTGGCAACTCCCTCGCTATCTTCTCAAAATTCCACAGAAATCAAGGAGTTTTCAATAATGATGTTGATAAATGATCTGCTGATATAAAATATCTTTAGATTTTTTTTTTTGAGAAAGATTTTTGCTATAGGACACATGTGCTCACCAGAGACACAGAGAGAAACAGAAAGACAGACAGAAATCACCCCCCCCCCAGGGGGGATGACCATGCTGCAATCCTTTCTCCTCCATCTCCTGTCAGGATTTTGGACACACACACATACACACACACACACACACCTGGCCCCTGGCATGAGTTCAAGCTGCCAGGTCCAGAACTCGAACTGTAGTCGACCATGTGGAAGTCCAGCACCTTAAACACTATTCCACCTGCTAATCCCAATAGCCTTAGATCAGTTAAGAGGTTTTTTTTCTTTTTTTTTTTTTCAGCTTTAAGTTGTTTTCCTCTGACTTCTGCAATTATTTAGTCAGTTTTTATGATTGCTTTCTGCTTATCTGAACCAAGGGCTAGTTCAAGACTCACTGCCTATTGCCTGCTATTAACCATTCTTCCTCTCCTGCAGATCCGGGTGATGGTGGACCTGTGCAACAGCACCAAGGGCATCTGCCTGACAGGTAGGTATCGGCCGTTGGCTGAGGGCTGCTCGCAGAAAACAAGTGCTAGCCCAAGGGCCGCTGGCTGAATGAACACCTAGACTAACTCATGTTATAAAAATACATGTGGACTTTCTTCTATCAGATGTTTTAAATGGGCTGGAAACCAACTGTAATATAAGTATGAATAATAACAATAATATTTGGGGTATTTCCATAAAAATAGTGCCATGGAAAATAACTAGGATTTAGGTATTAGAAACGTGTTGTACCTCAAACCAGGACTCCAGATATTTTCCTTATTCTCATCGGCTTTCAAAAGGAAAAAAGAAAGAAGGGAAAAGACCTTGCTAAATGGTAGTGTTCTTTCATTGGAGAAGTAGAGTTGTCTTAGCAGCAGTAATTATTGCATCACATATACATATATCACACAAACAGCATGAACAGGAAGCTCTGGAAGCAACTGCTAAGTAGTTAAGAAAATACTTTTGTTTTTAGAGGTTTTTCCTTAGAGCGTGTGCTCTTGCAGGAGAGAGAGACAGAGACAGCGAGAGGGAAAGTGAGAAATCACCCCCTCCCCCGGGTGGATGGCCACACGGCAATCCCTTCTCCATTCTCCTGGGATCTTGGGCACACACATGGGCCCCATGTGAGTTTCAAGCCACTGAGTCCAGGACTCAAACCTCAGTTGACCATGTGGGAGTCCAGTGACGTAACTGCTATGCCATCTGCTGGCCCTAGAAAATACTTTTTATGGGAGCTTTCTCTGTGGTGCCTACCACACTCTAGGTGGACCTGGAGGCTGGTCCACCCCGACCGCCTCCACCCGTGAACTGAGGACATGTAGAAGACAGGAACCAACCAGGACACGCTTCAAGTCTTGGGACAAGGGGTGGCTGATGGATGGGGAAGGGGGAGCGAGGTTGGATTTGAGATGACCATCCCTGAGCCTGACAGAGTCTCGTACCTGTCACATCTGGCCCAACGGCAGGCCTGGTTGCCTCCTGCCTTCCGAAGGGAGGGCGGGAGAAAACAGACCCCGGAGCAGTCACTCCATCTCTTCTCTCCAAACACAGAAGGCTCTGGCCAGACCAAGGATGGACCTGCAGGGCCTGATTTCAGACACTGCATTTCCAGAGAGGGTATAAGACTTCTAAGGAAGCTGGAAATCCTTTCACATTAAAACGATACATTGTGGAGTGGAAGCGAAACCTCCTTGGACTGTGAAAGATAGCCAGGAGATTGGAAAGCCATCAGAAACTTTTGCTGGGTCTCAGTCTACTGCCCGGGCTCTGGGGCAGACCCCTTAGCCCTTCACCCTGCCCGTCTGAACCAGGTTGTAAGAAACCTCGCCCTTTTCTTCCGCACCTCCCCAGTATCTCTCATTAGGAGTGCAATGTGAGTTTGTTGAAGAAATAAACCCGTGGCTTATGTGAGCAAAGCAGAGGTGGTGAGTGGGTAAGGAAGAAGCTCCCCTCAGGGACCCCAAATCTGAGTCTGATCCCCCTTCTCTTACTTTAGCCTCAGAGAAAAACTAGCATCTTGCAGCTTCTTGGGAAATGCTAATTGAACTACTCAAGTCACATTTCAGCCATCAGAGAAAATTAAATCTTCAGAACAGCTTGGTCCTTTATTCTGAAACTCTTGTAGCTGAAGCACCTTTCTTCCATCTCTGGAAGTCCCTTTTCAGAGTTCCCGCACGTGACAGTAATGAGCGCTAGAGAAACACTCAGATGATAGAATTACAGGCACAAAAGCCTGTGGAGAGGCACGGGAAAAGCCTCTTCCTTTATGATTTTTATAGCGACAGACCTGAGCCAGGCTGTATGGTGAATGCGGGGCCAGGGCTATTGAGACCTCTCAGGGAAGGCTGATGGGGACTGGGATGTCTGCAAATGAGTTGGGTAGATTATTCTTTGACACCTCAAAATGCTTTTCAAAAGCCAGCACTTTCCCCTTTCATGCCAGCTTGAAATAGGGCTTCCTTTCACACAGAAAGCTCTTCAATTACAACTTAGATGTGAAAAGTAAAAGTTACAAAGCAAGAAGGTGCCTTGGGATAGATGGCATTGCCTGGATTGGGGGCTGGGAGGAGGCAGTGAGTGACAAGACTCAGGACTGAATGGGGCAATGTCAGGGGCCAGGCAGAGAGGCCTGGTCTACAGCCTCAAGAGAAGGCCAGGCTGGAAAGTTCACCAGAGCAGAGTCTAGGCTTGGGGCCTGAGAACAGGCCTAGCTTTAACTGATACTGGATTCATCTTGGAAGAAGTAGATGCTTGTAACTTGAGCCTCATCAAGCCGTGACCCCACACCCCTTCTCATTCCTGTTCCTTTTCCTTGAGTCACCTATGGCTGCTAAGGAGCTCAGGACAGATGCCACCTCGTCGTGTGCAGCCCGTGACCTCTCAGGTCAACCTGAGGGTGATCCCCTAGCTAGAACTGTCAGGTGCTTTTGCTAACCCAGAGCTTGTCAAACAAAATATGGTTTGCTGGATGCATGCTTCTCCCAGGCCCAGGTTTTCTTAAGACCCCAGAAACCTACCTTTCAGAAGAGCAGGTGCTTTGAAGAAGGCAGTTTCTTGGGCTATTCTTCACTAATGGCAGCCTCTACATATGGACTTGTGGGGCAATGTCTAAATGAGTGTGTGGCTGAACTGCCTCTTGGGGCAGAGGCACTTCACGTCCACAGAGTCCATTCTCCTTGCAGCCAAGGGGCCCCAACCCAGCAATGGCCCTTGTCACTTCCCGCTGAGCCTATCCAACAGCAGACATCAATAAGGGATCACAGCTGCTGCTGAGCATGGCTCCTATCATTCTCTTCTGGTGTCCTGGAAAACCACTATGAATGATTGGACCTGCTACTGGAAACAAACCTATCTGCCAGGGACCAGCAGATGAAGTAATGGTTATGTCACTGAACTCCCATGTAGTCAACCATGGTTCAAGTCCGGCAAAGAAATCACCCCCCAAGGGGGATGGCCACACCGCAATCCCTTCTCCTCCATTCTCCTCTCGGAATCTTGGACACGCACACACATGCGCCTGGCATGAGTTTAAGCCACCAGGTCTGGGACTCAAACTGCAGTTCACTACATGGGAGTCCAGTGACATAGCCATTATGCCAACTGCTGGTTGACGTAAATGTTTATTTTTTAAAAAGGAGGAAAAAAAGAATCTGCGATAGCTCCCTACTATCTCACCATCACGGTCTACACCTCCGGGCGCGGCACTTAAGTGCTTCTGTGCCCACCCACCCAAGTCCTTCTTCATCCTCCTCCCCACACACTCTAACTGGCTGGTCCTCTTTCTTTCTCCCATCTGTGTACCTTTGCTCCTGCTGGTCCTCACATGGAATGCCTGTACCTCACCTGCAGCCACTGTAGGCCCTTCATGTCTACCATGCCATAGCTGGAGACACACCTTCTTAGAAGTCTTCTCAGACTGCTGTATGCCCAGACTTCCCCAGTACCTGTACAGTGAGTTGCTTTTCTGCAGCTCTCAGATCATTTGTGGTTTCAACAAGTGCATCTTCCCCACAGAGACCGTGAACACAAAAGACACAGGGACCAAGCTCTCATGGTAGAGTTTGGTGCACATACTTAAGTGCTAGTAAATGCTCGTTTCCTAGATGGCCATAGGCTTGGGCTTATGGAAAGAGCTTTCCACTCCAGTATTGATCATCATCATGTGTGATCTGCAGAAACCAAAGGACCCCAAATGCTCATGGTTCAACCTCATTAGCTTGTCTGAGCACTCAGTTAAGAAAGTTGAAATAAGAGATTCCTATTTGTGGAAGCCAAATTGTTTTCTTAGATTAGATGTAAGTGATTCCTCTAAACCCCTTAGATCCTGGGGTAATTACACAATAAGGAAAGTATTTGTTACCTGACTGGGGCCCTCAGTTTTTCTCAGGCTATTCTATGTGACAACAGAGATCCAGTGAGATGGTATCTGCTCCATATTCCCCCCAGGGGGCTGAAGGAAACCATCGGGCTGGATGAGAGCACTTGGGTTGTGCTTGCGACAGCCAGGTCTGTCTTGCCACTTGCTGACACCCTGTTTCCTGGCTGCACCAGTGACCCCCTGCATTGTTCCTGACTCTTGGCTAATTAGGTGGGCTACCTGGTGACCAGTGTATCAATCTACAGTGAAGTCAGCCCAGGAATTACTCTTGGACCATTGAAACCTAAGTAAAAGTGGTTTGATTGGCAAGCGGGTCTTTGTTGCATTGTTTTTAGGGAGCTTTTGGGCAAATATAATGAATTCTTAATAAAAGACATGGAATCAGTTCTTTAGGGTTAGTAGATGATTAGGAAATATTAAGGGGGAGATGCTTTTTAGTTTTTGGGTGGTAGTGCTAGTTTTTGTTTGTTTGTTTGTTTGTTTGTTTTTGTCCACTAGTACTAGTGGTTTATCATCTAAATTTCTTTTTCTGTTGTAGGACCACCTGGCCCACCAGGTAAGAACCCATCAATTTTCCTAGTTCACAGGGAGCCATTGGGTTGGCTGGACCCTCTAAGACTCCAAAGAAGGGACAGAAGTGGGGGGTGGAGGGAATCTGGAGGCAGCCCTGGCTACATCCCTTTTCTTCTCTCTGCTCCTCTCACTTGAAAGTCTGCATCCTCCCCTACTGGTCACTGGTTCAGGCAGAGAAAGGAAGGAAGATATGGGAAGGGATGTGGAAGAGGCATCTCTGCCTGCTCGGTCCCACTGGCTAAGGGAAATCCCATTAACTTCAGCGAAGATTTTTCTAAAATGTCCCTATTCCCATGTTTTGACACAGGACCTCCAGGAGTTGATGGGTTACCAGGACACAATGGATCAGATGGACAGCCTGGTCCCCAGGGCCCAAAAGGCGAAAAAGGAGCCAATGGAAAAAGAGGAAAAATGGGTATTTGGACAACTGTTCTAATTAATTTCCTATTGCTTGTCTTTATGATTGCCTTTGAGAAGGGCGAAAACCAGGTGAAGAGGGTGAAGTGTTTCACCCTCCCTGGAGACCGACCCCACGCTCCTCTCATTCTACTGCCGATAGAAAGACGGAAGGAGCAGGAGTGGCGGCCCTAGCAGAGGCACTCGTAGGCTGTGTGGGCTGCCGTTCTTTCAAGGTTCAGCTCCTCCTTGCCCCTGCTGCCTCCTCCTGCCCAGCCAATCCGTTTGGTGGAAGTCCCATGATGAGGACTGGTGTTAGCCCTGATGAGGATTTTCCTGGCTAGAGGAACAGCTTGAAAGGCTGACACTCAGGTCATAGGGTCCACTCTTCAGGGGTCACATGAGAATTTCAAAGATATGGCTGGTGTCTTGGAGGGCCCCCTCTGCCCTGTTGTGAGTGGGGGAGGGGGTGTGATATCACCTGGGCACAGGCTCAGAAGCACCAAGGTGTCAGATGTGCCCAGGGAGCAGTGACATGCAAGGGCTGGTATAGACCCTGGCAGGAGGCTGGGCAGGGCAGGTCCTAAGGGGCTGAGTGCCAGTCCGGGGGGGTCTGTGGAGAAGGACTGGGCAGAGTCTTGTGATGAAAGCTAGCACATGGCATGGCGGAGACTCAGTGCTGGGGATGAGGGGCTACACAGGAGGCTTCTAGGAAGGCCAGTCATGGCCATTGCCTAGGGGTGGGGAGAACGGATACTCCACCACACCCTTTGTTTTCAACCTCTTGGCTCTGCTACCCAGACTCACCCGGACAACCCCTATTCTGGAAGAAACACTAGAAAATTCTTCCAAACAGCACAGTTACCCCTCCTAGCACTTCTGCCTTTATTCCCAGAAGCAAGTGAAGTGAGAGCCAGTGGCGAGGGAGAAAATCACTGAGCACCTCTGCCACTTGGCCAGGCCTACCCACTTCTGTTGCCAGGGGGCAGCGTCTGGAAAACAGGCACACACAGTCCCCTTCCGCTCAGTCCTCAGAGGGCCAGTGATTACCGCTAGAATTACTGAACCCTAACAGCTCGTTACATGTAGGATAATCATTGCAATTATATGAGCTTCGGTGTAGAATAACAATGACTACCAACAGGCGGGCACTTGTGTATCCTGGGAAAACTACAGCAGTCACACCCGTCTACAATCACTGGGTGAGACACACCTTCGAAGCAAAGAACAGGGTCCCATGAGACACAGTAGTGGAGAGAGAGGGTCGGGAGATCAGGTCTCAAGTTGGACCTGAGGATGGGAGGAAAGGAGGCGCCAGCCTAGAACAGGGCACAGCACACGCGACTGTGGCTGGGGGTGGAGGGCAGCGAGGTGAATTGGAGCAGAGACCAGGCCCTTCCAGAGCCTTCAGCGGAGCACTCTGGGTCTTGCATCAGCTCCAAGGAAGGTATCATGGGGTCTCGCTAGAGATGTGACCTGTCAGTCCAGGGTCTTGACTCTTGACTGTAGGCTCTTGAGAAGACTAAGCTGATGAAACAGAGTCTAAGATCTCTGACCATTGTTTCCAGGAGTCTGAAGTATGGTAGATCTTCAGTCTCTGCCGTCCAGAACACTAAGTTAAACAATAGCAGGATAACATGGAGCCACAGCCAAATGGTGTGGTTTGATCCTGGTTCTTCTACTTCTCAGCTGTGTGCCCTTCGGGCAAGTTACTTAACTGCTCTGTGCCACGGTTTCCTCATTGATAATACGGGGAAAAGAATAGCACCAACTTCACAGCATCATTAGGAAGTTAAATGAGTTAATATAACAGTGATTGGAATAAGGTCCGACACACAGAACTTGCTATGTAGTGTTAGATATTATTTCTGTTATCGTTTCCCGAAATGAGCAGGGAGAAACTTGGCTATAGACCAAAATGAAATCGAATGGAAATGCTCAGTATTCGTTTAAAAACAGCGACTTTGATCGGAATTTTTTTTTGAGAAGAGTTGGAACTGAGACTTGTGTGCTCACCCCTTCTCTGAAGTGTGTCACTCTCTTGCCTCAAACTCAAGCGTTTTCTTTCTTTCCATCTGTCTCTCATTTCCTCACTTAAGAGTTAAGTTTCAGTGTCTTCTCTAAAAATCAAATCCTCATAAAAAGAAAAAAACAGGCACACACAGAAATAAACACCCTCCTTCTTAATCATGTCTTGGGACTGGGTTTTCTATGACATCCCCTGGCCCTCTTTCCTCCGCCTTAGTCAGCCGCAGATGGTATTGCCAAAAATAATGCGTCCTCCCTCACCCCCTATCGTGAAGATGATGGAGTTGACCTCAGCCCAGAGATTTCACCCAACCCCAAGTTCGAGTTGACCTCAGCCCAGAGATTTCACCCAACTTTTAATGCTGGTGAAGCTGTTTGTTTGGAGTGGGCGACACCCAGGGAAGGAGATAGCAGGGAGCCACTTCTGGCGCACAAATTAAGCAAGCAAAATCTGGCCTCTCTTCCCAGCACAATATGCTGACTCGAAGCTAGCCAGGAGCCATAGGACAGACAGCACCAGGGTCCTGATCGCATGGCCCTGTGCCTGGCTGATTGGAACCCTGACCTTCCCTGAGTCAGAACAGGGTAGAAAAGGCCACACACCGGCCCTCTGCTGGCCTATCTGCGATGCTCTCATCTTCCCTCGGACACTCCGGCCAGCCCATGGCCAAGGTGATCTTACCAACTTAGATGAGGAAATGCTTTTTTTAGGTGATGGTAGGTGGGAAGGCAAACAGACAATACACCCCCATCTTTTGTTCAGAAAAAAATTAAAAATAGGCATGCACACCCCAGCTAAGTGTCAAAATACACCCTCGAGCAAAGGCCTTCCTTTTCTTCCTTTAAATACTTGCCCTGTGGGGGCTGCATTTCTGTGAGAATGCTTTTCTATTTCACATCTGGCCTTTCTGAGAAAAAAATAAAATAAAATAAAAGGCATTAGAGGAAGGAATAAAAGAGAGAAAAGGGAAATCAGATGATGATGATGCAGAAAGTCTCTTTGTGACCAGAATAAATGCCTGGAAAAGAAAACCTTGCAATAATGAGGGATACCATTTCCCTGACACTGCTGGATCCGGGTCACCCGAAACCTTTCAAAGGTGTCAGTTACACGCGGCGGTGCACTGTGCTGGCGGGACTGGCAGCCTCTCGTCTTCTCTCTCCTTCAGATAGTGTGCCAGACTGCCTGTATAAAACCAACAGAAGAATGTCTTCTCATGCAGAGGGCCCACAGGTGGGCTCTTCTCAAGCAAGGAACTTTCCACCTTGGTCTGTAAGCGGAGATGACCCAGAGCCAGGGGTGTTTGGTGCTATTGCTAGTGCAGGGGAGGTGTTATAAGCCATGACCCTCACCTCCCCCAGAGGCGTGATTTGACACCTGGATTGCTGAATCCACTGCCAAGTGCTGACTGTGGGGTGACCCCTCCTCCTCTTTGCCTCCTCTTCTGCTGTATCTCTCAGTTCAGCTGCTCTGTCCGGATCACCACCACCCGAGGTTACTGCAGGCAGAGGCAGGGACCCAGGGCTCCCGACTCCCAGCTGTGGTTGGATTTCTTGGCCTTCACTAAGATGTTGCCTTGTGGTTGGCTACAATCTAGCAGATGCCTCTTTTTTTTATGATTTCTTATTCACGCTTAGTTGTATATCTCTACAGCACCAATATGTTTCTCCAAAGTATGCATGCAGTACATGACAATTAAACCAAGGATATTACTGTATACATCATTTTCAGTGGAGAACTTCACTTTTTTTTTTTTTAAAGAAGATTTTGCTATAGGGTGCATGTGCTCTCTGGAGAGACTGAGCGACAGAAAACAAGCAATCCCCCCCCACCCCGCCCCCAGGGGGAATGGCCATGCCACAACCCCTTCTCCTCCAGTCTCCTCTTGGAATTTCAGGCCCACATGCACATGTGCCCAGTGTGAGTTTTAAGCCATTGGGTCCAGCACTAGAATCACAGTCGACTATGTAGGAGTCCAGCACCACAACCAATTATACCATCTGCTGGTCCCGAACTTCACATTCTTATGTCTGGTACGTATTTCTTTCCTGACACTCTCTCACCCACCCTCTACTATCCACACCCCTCTTGCACAGTCTCTGGTCTCTCCACTTGTCCTCCCAACCATTATATCTTTAGATCTTCCTGTTTCTGCCAGAGTGCAGAATATATTCAGTACCTATTGAATGGGTATAGACAGTGTCTGTCCTTCATAATCTGGCTTGCTTCACTTCTCATCAAATTTTTTATATTCATCCATTTTGTAAGGCATCAGTAAGAAAAGCTACTCCAACTCATGAGTACATGGGTATATTGGGGCCCCCCAGGGGGGAATGATTGTTTAATGTTTTGCAAAGATAATGCTAGATATGGATTAAGTAACATGACATCTTATCTCAGGGAATAAGTATTTTTGTCCATTTTGACAACAGCCCCCTGGACATATTGCTCAATGTGGCAGAGATTTCAGGCAACAGATAAAATAATACAAGGTAATAAATAATTCCTCATCCACCAAATGACTGGGTCTAATTTTTCCTTATGGCTGAGTAGTGCTCCAAAGTGTACATGTGCCACATTTTTTTAATCCTGGCATCAGTTCTTTGGCACTTAGGTTGATTCCATGTCTTAGCAACTGTGAATAATGCTGCAATAAACATGGATATGCAAGTGTCTTTCCATCTGAGTGTTTTCCTATTCTTTAGGTAAATACCAAGGAGTGGGATTACTTGGTCATATGGGAGTTCTATTCGTAGATTTTCAAGGAAACTTTATATTGTTTCCATGATAGCTATTCCAATTTACATTTCTACCAGCAGTGTAGGAGTGTTTCCTTTACATCACAGCCTCACCAGCACTTGTCATTCTTTATTTTCTTGACCAAAGCCATTCGTACTGGGGTTAAGCAGCATCTTATTGTGGTTTTGACTTGCATTTCCCTTATGATAAGAGATAGTGAACATTTTTTCATGTGCATTTTGGCCATTCATATGTCTTCCTTAGAGAGTTGTCTGTTCGACTCGTTTGCCCATTTTTTAAATTGGATTATTCTAGTTTTTGCAGGTGAGCTACTTGAGTTCCCTATCTACTCTGTTTACTAATCCCTTATCTGAAGCACGGCTTGCAGGTATTTTCTCCCATTCTGAGGACTGCAAGTGTTTTCTGTTCACTACACTTTCTGACAATGATCCATACTTCAAGGGGCTTTTGTGCACTGTTATCTTCCTTAGGGTGCTCTGTGGATAGTCCCTTGAATATGGAAGAGCAGAAATCATTTTGAATTTTTATCACTTCTTCAGAGTAAAAGAGTTGCTAAGAGTTCCAGATATATGTTGTAGAGGATAATGTTTCTGAGGGCTGACATGGAGTATTTGAGTATGTGCTGTGGTATGTTTGACATGACAGCTCATCACTGAAAGGGCTTGAGAAAACAGCATAGAGAGGCTTTAGGGTTGCATGTAAAGTCAGTCTTATAAACCTGCAATAAGTCCCGAGTGAGTCAAGCAAGCTGAAGGCTTATTCAAGCCAACACAGAAGGATGGGCCACCTGGGAGCAGAGGCTTTAGAAACCTGTAATTCATACTCCAAGCTGGCAGAGTTTGGGGCAGGAGTGTTTTTAGGGAAAGGGAACAAAAGGAAGACAGAGGAAAGCTAAAAGCTATAAAACTATTTTTCAAGGATTCATTTGATGCTCATTAGTTAACAATTTTAGCACAAAATTTTATTTTCTATGCGTTGGTTCAAGGTTGTGTTTTCATGACTACATTTTTTTCATGCTACCACCCAGAATACTGGAAGTTTTCACTCCCCAATGGTTGCCAGATCATAGTGAGTATGGTTAAAGTCTCATGTCCACGTTCCTCTCAAAGCTTGATTTATTTAAAATGATTTACTAATTTTCTTTCTTTTCTCAATCTAAGTCATCTCTAAGGTGCCTTCCAATCTGGAATTCTATGGTTCTCTTGGGACATTTGTATTCAAATTAGAAAGGCTGGTGAGAGTAGGAGGTGAGGTCCAGATAGTTTTAAAACTGAACGGTGGACACGCGCAATGCCTGCCAGGTAATAATGTAAGAATGGGCCCGCTGCTTAGACAGAACCTGTAAGATGGGGCGTGGGACAGCAGAGTAATTAGAAATGGCGACCCGTCCTAAGTCCTCTTGGTTTAACTCAAGGTTTGCATGCACTAAAGCATGCCTTTCACTCTCCACTGTTGCCCAAAATCTCTGCCACATTGAGCAATATGTCCAGGGGGCTGTTGTCAAAATGGACAAAAAGTTAACAATTTTAGCACAAAATTTTATTTTCTATGCGTTGGTTCAAGGTTGTGTTTTCATGACTACATTTTTTTCATGCTACCACCCAGAATACTGGAAGTTTTCACTCCCCAATGGTTGCCAGATCATAGTGAGTATGGTTAAAGTCTCATGTCCACGTTCCTCTCAAAGCTTGATTTATTTAAAATGATTTACTAATTTTCTTTCTTTTCTCAATCTAAGTCATCTCTAAGGTGCCTTCCAATCTGGAATTCTATGGTTCTCTTGGGACATTTGTATTCAAATTAGAAAGGCTGGTGAGAGTAGGAGGTGAGGTCCAGATAGTTTTAAAACTGAACGGTGGACACGCGCAATGCCTGCCAGGTAATAATGTAAGAATGGGCCCGCTGCTTAGACAGAACCTGTAAGATGGGGCGTGGGACAGCAGAGTAATTAGAAATGGCGACCCGTCCTAAGTCCTCTTGGTTTAACTCAAGGTTTGCATGCACTAAAGCATGCCTTTCACTCTCCACTGTTGCCCAAAATCTCTGCCACATTGAGCAATATGTCCAGGGGGCTGTTGTCAAAATGGACAAAAATACTTATTCCCTGAGATAAGATGTCATGTTAATTGATCCATATCTAGCATTATCTTTACACAACGTTAAGCAATCATTTCCCCTCTGGGGGTCCCAATATACCTGTGTACTCTTGAGTTGAACTAGCTTTTCTTACAGAAGCCTTGAAATTCCCTACAGAAGCATGTTGTCTGTGAACAAACACAGCTGCAATCCATTCTTTCTAATACGTATGCCTTTTCTTTTTCCTGGCTGTCAGGCACTAGCTGGGACTTCCAACAGAATGTTAAATAAAAGTGATGTGAGCAGCCACCCTTGTCCTGTTCCTCATATTAGGGGACAGTATTCAGCCTTTCTGCATTAAGGATGATATTAACTACAGGTTTTTCATGACTGCCCTTTTTCACATGGTAGAAATTCCCTTCTATTCCTAGTTTGATGAGACTTTTTACCAAATGCCCTTTTCTGTATGCGTTGAGATAATTGTATGATTCTTCTTGCTCAAATGGACTGAATCATACTGACTGCATTGTTTGAAGTTTGAACCCTTTTCTGGCAGGCAGTTAAATTACTTACAGATAAATTTGATCCATTCAATGCTTGCTTTTTAAGCTTTGCAGTAATGGGTCCACAGGAAAATACCTTTCCCTAAAGGCTAATTTAGCCCCATTACTAAGACTTTTCTAGGGACTCTACCAGCACCCCATTATTTGACAAGGCCTCTTCACTTTGGTGGGAATGAGAACTTTCTGCTGTGTGAGCTCTGTCAATCATAATGAACTGAATTCTTTTCCTGACCCTGGAGAGTTTTACCCATCCTCTCAAGGAGCCCTTCACAGATCTCCAGGGCACTTCTTTCCTCTGCTCTTCTGTCTCACAAATTCTAGCCACTTCCATCTTCCCAAACTCTGAATTTTTTAGCTCTTCAACTTGGTGAGCTCGCCTCCTCCCAGTGCTGCTAGGAATTGTTCCCAGAATGAATGGGGACAACTGGAGCTGCCTGTGCTGCCATGGTCCGGCGCTGAGACAAGCTGTGGGTTAGCCCTTGAGTAATTTCTAGCTGGGTGGGAAGGATGACATTCCTGTAGTCATGGCTCTTCATGAACAGAATCAGAAATCTCACCCACTACCTCGTGTTCATGTGTCACCACCCACATCCCTATTACAGGTTGTCCCCACGCACCTTTACTTGTTTTGCTATTGTGATTAAAGCATTTTGCTTTGGGATCTCACAGAGAGGGAACTGGACATGGAAACAGGCCCTTTACTGCTCACCTAGCGGCGTCCATTCTAACCACTGCAGGCCTTTGTTTCAATGTCTATAAAATGAGCGTGGGGATAAGCCCGGTCTAGCGCTCTAATACGTTGTCAGAGATAAGCTAGATAAAGTAGATGACACCCATTATTATGGCGCCAGACTCCTGTGGGTGCAGCCGTCCTTCGCTGGATGGCGCCAGACTTCAGTAGCCTCCCTTGCCTTCTTTCCACTGTGCGTGACTGGCTCTCTTGTTTTGCCCTAGGCAGCCAGACTTCTCTGAAAATGTTCCAGCAGCCCACCTGGCCATGCTAAAGTGACCATGAAGGGTTATGCATTTAGTTCATTAAAGCTGCTTTACTCCAAAAGGACGAAGCACAATTTTACAAAGTGGTATGCCAGGATTTCTTGCACAACAGGCTAATATGTTTTTGTTTTTTTCCTCAGGGTTACCTGGAGCCCCAGGAAATCCAGGAGAAAAAGGAGAAAAAGGAGACCATGGTGAACTGGGCTTGACTGGAAATGAAGGCCCACCAGGGCAGAAGGGTGAAAAGGGAGACAAAGGAGATGTGTCCAACGATGTGCTTCTGGCAGGTCAGAGGGGTGCCCCCGGCTCTCTGCTAGGCCACGTGGGCTCGGTTCTGCTGGGTCTTCAATCCAGGGACTGCTCTGGGCCTCTTCTCCTTGTTGGCTTCATGTGCCCACATATGTCACAGCATGTTTTACGGCTTTGTGCTCTCAAAGATGAGACACCTGTGCATGTTATGCCGTGTGGGCAAGACTGTTTTGGTCTAATTCAGGTCTAATCTAAAAGTCAAGGTTGGATGGAATGATGAAGGAAGCTTCCACTTTCCAAATATCTGTTGAAACCCAGCACAATCCAGACTAAGACAAATAAGTAAGCAACTTAAGGTACCTAAAGAAACAACTGACAGAGAGTTCCTGGGCAAACGTATGGCCCACGCCTGACTGCATACCACCCGTGAGCCTGTTTCTGAGGTGAGAGTTTGCATAGAAGAAGGCTTTCTACAGAAGATATCAACCAGAAAGCAGTAGGATCTAGGATGCTTCAAGCAGGCAGTGCTTTTAAACACAAGTCAGGGATGTGATGACGTGCAGGTCTAGAGGTAGGAATCCTGGCACTTTGCAAAAAGTGTCTATGATGTCACTTTGACGGATTAGCATGAGGCATTCTTACAGTGGTGTCCAGAGCGAGATGTTATCATCAGGTCTGTTCTGGGTAAAGACTGCAAGTCAAAGAACTCTTAAGACATTTGGATCTCTTCCATCTTTATATGCAACTTGTGTCTGGGTCTTGCAAGACTTGAACAGCGAAGGCTATCACGGTGCGATCGCTGTAAGACCCGCATCACCTTAATGCACTGTGG